CAGAAGGACACTTTGAGAGATGCTCAGAAGGAAGAAGTCTGCCAGGGTTTGCCATTTGCTGGTTTGCAGATTTGCTGGACTTCCAGATATCCTGACAACTGAGATTGCCTCCAAAGAATCGGACAACCCTAAACAGCCCAAAGTAACCAAAGAGAACTCTGCCCCGTCTCCCTAGTAACCTTTCTCTCCTACCTAGTGTCGGGGGGTTGGAAGGGATAAAGGGTGTTGCAGGGAGCTAGAGGTATAAGAACCAAAACAAAATAGATTAGACTAAAATAAAAAAGATGCACCCTTATAGGTCATAGAACTGCACACAGCGATACGCCACAGACCCCTGCACGTGGAAACGTGCACACCGACACTCTGACACCCCGAAGACACACGCGCTTAGAAGTATACACAATGACACATGTACACAGCACTGAGCTGTTCGATCTCAGAGGCAGCCCCGGCAGCCCCCACCTTGCTCCAGAGGTCACATCTCAGCTCTCAAGAATCCAGGACCCCCTCTCCTCCCAGGCATTATCCTCCGCCCACTCATCATGCCCAAATCTCCAATCACGGGGTCTTCGGCAGCTGCCACACCCTGCTCCAGCAAGTCTGCCCTGCAGGGAGCTGTCTCCAAATCCCTGTGTCTGCCCTGTCCCTGGGCCCCTTCCAGGGATTGCTACACCTACTTCAGACAAGACAAGGCAGAACCAAGTATTCGTTGAAGACTTGACTGAGAGCTGGAGGTGGCTCAGTGGATGGCTGCACCAGCCTCAAGACCTGAGTTCAGATCCCAAGCAGCCACATAACAGGCCAGATGCCTATAATGCCAGCACTCGGGAAGTGGAGAAAGAGGACACCCCCCCCCCCAAAAAAAAAAAAAAAAAAAAAACAATGGCTTGGTAGTTAAATCAGCAGACTCTGGCTTCAGGGAGAGAGTCTGCCTCAGTAGGCAAAGCAGAATGTAATGGGGAAAGACGCAGACTCCGGGATCCTCCCACCCCTCGGAAAAAGATGCTTTGATCAAGGTTCAGGGGGAAGCGCAGCACTGTATCCACAGAGCTTTCTCGCACACTGTTTTAATCGCTCTGCTTCATTAGCTGTTGCTGCTAATTTCTTGATGTACCTCATTTACAAAGTAAACCTTCTCTTGGCGCGTGTGTATGTGTGTGTTGCCTGGCTTTTCTTTGGGAGATGTGAACAAATATCTCTTCACCCTAAACAAGGCACCAGGGACACGTTAAATAAATGACGCTACCAAAGCCTAGGCCAGTGGACCAGTAAGTCTGTCGGGGTTCCTCACTGGAGCGTGGGGGACTCAGAGGCAGTCACCTCTCCCGGAGCCCAGCCCAGCGTCTCTGGCGCTTCCTGCCCAAATTGTAGGCAGCTGCACTGAAGAGTCTGTGCTCCCAGGCTGCTGTCACTGTTTACAGAGCCTCACAGAAGGGCTGGGTCTTGAAACTTTGGGGGAGCTTTGTGAGCCGCTCCACTGCCATATAAAACAGTGTGCATGGAAATGGGGAACACAATACATGCAAAGTTCATGCCCTTGCTGCTGAGCCCAATGCCCAGCACATAGTAGGTGTTCAGCTAACATCTTCTACATCCAGGAGCAGATGGGTCAGGGTTTCCAGCCTCCCATCTTCAGGCGCTTGGGAGCCAGTGGTCTGGTTGAGTCTCACCTGGGATGTGCTCTAGGCTCAATTAGGCATGCCTTGCCTACCCCTCAATGATGGGGCACTCATGCCCTTTTATCGGCAGAACTACAGTTGCCCAGACTGGCCCTGTGTGGTCACTGCACTCTGTGTGTCTGTATGTCTGCCTCTCCATCTCTTCCACCCAAATGCTTTTCTGACCCTCAGGGCTCCTACAAACAGACCTAACCCATGCATCAAAGACTCAAAGCCCCTCAGGTCCCCAGGCACTCAGTCCTCCTTTCGGAACTTAGCAGATGTAAGCCTGCTCTGGATTGGCCACAGTTGCCAACTCCAGAGGCTCTGACCCCCTCTTCTGGCCTCCAGGGGCACCTGCACTCATGTGCATATATCCACACACAGGTATGAATACGCACAGTTAAAAATAATAGTTTTTTAAAAAGGACTTTCGCAGACGTGATTCCATTCTGTTTTGACCAGCTGTGGCTTCCTCTCCAGAGTATTTTGCAGTGGTTTGAAATTTCTCCCAGAAGAGAGTGAAAGCAACTCTAGACAAAGCTGCCTGCAGAAGCACTTCCATGCCTGGGACAGCACATAAGGGCCAGTCTCCAAGACACTGATGCTCTGGCTCCCCGGAAGAAAAGTCCACCTGAACTCACCCCCCTTTCAGTTACCTGGATGGCCCCTGACCTGGCGAGGCCATGATGACCATGAACCTTAGACCAGCTTCCATTGAACACGCACTTGGCTCTTCAAAAGACGAGACAGGAATCACTGCTTTGAGCACGTGGCCCGCTGCATGGTTGGCAAATATGGGGGCGGGGCACACAGAGCTAGGTGAGTTTCAACATCTCTGGCCACTCAGGACAGATGTCCATACACCCTACACTGTGGAATGGGTCTCCTTATGCCCTGGATGGGTCCGCTTTGAAGGTCACACATACGCCTTCCTGTCGTCCAGGGATTCTCATAGCTACTGACACAGGCTCCACCCTGGAGTGCTCACAGGAGCCTCAGAAGCCAGCCTGTCCTCATCACCATGCCCCGGCCCCGTTTCCAGAGCTTTCTACCAAGTTTTCAAGAAGTGAGTCTCCTCTTCATCTCATTCCAGACAACTGGAAGGAGCACGTGCGGGGACATAGAGGGGAGCTGCAAACCTCTGCCTCTCTCCCAGGGTCCCAGTCAGCCCACCCACTGCAGCACAGAGAGAGAGAGAGAGAGCGAGAGAGAGAGAGAGAGCACCCAGTTCTGCAATGCTGAGTAAGCCCCACGCCTACTGTGAGCCTGGAGACCCATGAGTGACTCCCGACCATCTCGTCTTGTGACCTTGAATTTCTGTGCCTCTGAACTATGTCTGTTGTGGTCTCTGACTCCTCTCTAAAGTCAAGGCCAAACCTCCTAGAACAAAGCAGCCCAAGACTAGCCCCCGACACTAAAGAATGGGTATCGCATACCTCCATTCATACTACAATTAGGAAATACCAACACTGGCTTCATAAGGGACGGATGGTAGATCTACGGCTGGGGTGCAGAGGAGAAAGAAGGCAGCTCTCCAGGAGGTCAAGCAACCACGGGTGGTCTCCAATGTCCAAGCTCATGGACTCAAAGTCTCCGAACAACATGTGAAGTTTGTTGCACACACTTGAACCTTGGCAAAGCCGGGCCAAAACTCTAGCTCTGCCAACACTTCAAGTGCCTCCTAAAAACACCTATATCCCTAGCTGTCAGCATGTCTGCATTCATTCATTCATTCCCTCACTCCCTACTGGCATTCATCCATCCATCCATTCATTCCTTGCCTATTTGCATCCATTCCCTCACTATTCATCCTTGCTTACATTCTTTCACTTATCTATGCTAGGATTAATTCATTCATTCATTTATTCCATACTTCACTCATTCATTCTATGCTTGCATTCTATTAGTGCATTGTGCTTGCACTAATTTCCTTCATTCATTCCCGAATTGCACACATTCAATCATTCCTTATTTATATCCATCCACACATTCATTCCCTGCTCACATTAATTCACTCATTCATTCATTCATTCATCTATTACAGTTTCCTTGGATAACAGAAGTGGGGACAAGTTCTGGAAGCCAAGTTGGGAGAACTGGATCAGGTGCCCAGAGGTATCTGAAGTGAAGACACAGGAGCCAGAGGAGGGGACTGTGGGGGTGGAAGACTGAAGAAAACAGGAAAGACTTTCAGGGACAGCAGGCACTCCACACACATCTGTCCCAAGGGAGGAGGGAGTCAAGAGCTGGAGAGGGAGGAGACAGGTTTGGGAGGCAATGAAGGAGCCTGGGTGACTGTAAGCACAGGACTGAGTTAGTCAGGTTTGCTCTAGCTGAGGTATGAAGGATGGAAACAGAAGCTGGGGTCAGGGGGGAGATGGCTTTGGCTTGAGCCACACCATCCAGCTGGGACCGACCAGAGTGGAGAAAGACAATGAATGATAAAAACAGAGCCACAGATTGAGCGAGAGTTCGAGGTGTGGGTGAGGGCTGGGAGCAGCCAGCAAGGGCTTGATTTGCGGCTGGTTCTATGGAAGCAGGTGGGTGAATGGGAAGTGGGCATCCATAACTAGGGTGTTGAACCCTTGGGCTCTGTCTGTTTGATGAACAGTTCCACAATGATTGACACTGGTACCTGGGTCCCCTTTCCGTGCTAAGGTTCCCTGAGGCAAGGTCAGCAGAGGGACCCCCACAAGGCTCCTGGAGGTGCTCTGTCCCCCATGGCTCACATGTTGGAAGCTGGAGTCTTGCAGTGGAGCCCTTAAGAGGCTGGTAGGGAAGGGAATAAGGAGTCCTATGGGACCGCGGTCAGTTTTGAGGAATTGGAAGGTTCATCCTGGAATCTCTCCCTCTCTCTCCTGCTGCTGTGCCATATGCCCGAGGCCTCATCAGGGATGGCTGGTGCCAATGCCAGGCCTCTGAAGCTCCAGAAGTTTCAGATAAAAGTATTTTTATTACAGTAAAATTTCTCCATATAGATCGCCCAGCGTTGGGTATGTTGCTGTAGGAACAGAAATCAGCCTCGTTTCACACGGAGGGGGTATGGCTCAAAGATACAGAACTTACTCAAAGATAGAGCCCAAAATGCCTGAATTCCATCCCTCACACACACACACACACACACACACACACACACACACGTACATACGCACGTGGGAGGGAGGAGGGAAGAGACAGAGAGAACAAGAGACCAATGCACACAGTGAGCTACAATCAAGTCTGACCTATTTTCTCTTTTGAGAGATGTCTGTTGACTGACCCACCACTGAGTTCTGGTTCGTCCAGCCCCAGAGAGCATCTACACATCTGTTGCTCAGGTCTCCACAGTACCACGGGCGGGCAGCGCTCAAGCAGCTCTCCAGGAAGATCCCGTCAGTGTAAGCTGCACTGAAGACAAACCATTCCCAACTCACGACACTCAACAGACAGAAGAGAACAGAGAACTTTGTCAACTCTCTCAAGGCCACACAGTAAGTCTAGAGGCAGAACTCAGGCCTCTAACGTGGGTGTCTTGCTTCTAGCACATTCTCCAATCTTCTCCGCCTGCCTCTGAGGACAAAAATAGTCTCCAATTAGAAAATCTGTGAAGTGCAAAGGAGGACAGAAAGGATCGACCAGTCTCAGATGGAGGAGGCCCTGGGCTTGTGCCTTTTCACTGACGCAGAGTTCCCCCACTCCTCCCTCCCCGCCAGGTACCCCTCCAACCACTGCCCAAACCTCCTACCACAACTCCCCTCCCCCTTCTGTATCTTTTCCTGGATCCCAACTCCCAGGGCAAGAAAGGGTCTGATCGGTCCTTCCCCCAACGCCTCAGCAAGTGCCTTGGGGCTCAACAAATATCTGCTGATCCAGTTGATTCTTTGGTGAGGCAGAGAGGAAAGCTCCAAAGGTGGGCAGATGTGAGCCATGGCTGAGTAAGGCCCACAGCCCACAGCAAATTCCCATTAAGAAGCTGGTTCTTCCTGTCAGGGGAGGAGCATCCAGAAAACATGTTCCCAGCCTCCTCACAGCCCAGAAAGGACACAGCCTCAGAGCAGAGGAACATCTCAAAACAGCCCTAAGATTCTGGGGCTTCATTACCCTGCCTCCACATTCCAGACTCTCACCCAGAGAGGCAGAGTAACTCTTCCCATCTCACACAGCAAGGGACTAATAGGCAACCTGGGGCCATCACAACCACTTCACAGAAAGTATGAGCAAGTGACTGTAGAGTAAGGCTGGACTCCATCTTTTCCAGTAATTAGTATTTGAACTGTATAGACTTAAAAGAGTCAATGGACACTATATATAATGAGAAAAAAAAGTGACACTTCTTTATCTTTAATTTTTTGGCTTTCTCATTATTGGTCTTTGTGTCTGGCAAGTATGTGAAGGTTGGAGGACAGCTCTCGGGGATCCATTCTCTCCTCCATTTTGTGGATCCTGGGGGGTCATCACTTTTGGTGGCAAGCTCCTTCACCTGCTGAACTGTCCCTTGGCACATCCATTTTCTTTTTAACCTGGCACCTTTGGTTAAACCAGATTTGGTGAGGCTGTGTTAAAGGGCAGATAAAATACTATGGAAAATTGTAGGAAAGGAGCTCTCTCAGAGTAAGGACTGAGGGTGCATGGGACCCCCTGAATTCCAGTGTACCCTGGCAACTCTGACTTATTCTGTTAAGGGCCAAAGAAGTTGCTTCCTTAAAGGGACCCCACGCTCTATGCGCAGGCTCTGAAGTCCCTTCAAGATGTCAGCTAACCTCCAAACACAGATCATGGCATGTTCTCTCTCTCTCTCTCTCTCTCTCTCTCTCTCTCTCTCTCTTTCGTGTTCATGTGGGTTTTTGCAGTTATGAACCACCATCATGTGGCGTCTGGGAACTGAAACCGGAACTATAAGAGCAACAAGTACTCTTAAGCACAGGGTTACCTCTCCAGCTTTTTCCCCCCTTTTTTCCTTTCTTTTCTTTTTTCAAGGCTGGGCACTGGGTCTTGGGAAATGACGCTGTGGTTAACAGCATTTGTTGCTCTTGCAGAGGACCTGGGCTCTGTTACCAGCATGCATGTGGCGGCTCACAACCTTCAGCTACTCGGGTTTCAGGAGATGGCGTGCCCTCTTCCGGGCCCCTTAGGCACTAGGCATGCACATGGCACACAGACAGGCAAACACTTTCAATCCCAGCTCTCAGGGGACAGGAGTAGAAGGATCTCTGTGAGTTCAAGGCCAGCCAGGGATTATACCGTGAGACTAAATAAATAAATAAATAAATAAATAAATAAATAGACAAATAAATAAATAAATAAATAAGTTTGTGTATGTGTGTTTAACAACAAAATAAAAGCCGAGTGCTGCATAGATATTGTGTAGAAGACAAAAGAGATTCTCACAAGACTTTGCCAATGGGAATACCCCCTAGAAAGCTTTCTGGGCCCTGGTCCTAGAGCCTTCCTCCCTCCCCTATCTGGGGCTCCTCATTGGCTCCCAGGAGAGTGGAGGGAGCAAGAAGTGAGCCTGTTCTATACCTAGCTAAGTCCTCAGTGCCCGACCTGGGTGATGAAGCCTGGCTTCCACCAGCACAGGTTCAATACAGACAATTGGTCCAGGGGCCCAGGGGTCACCTTGTCTCATACTGAGGGGCCATCCTTCTTGGTTTCTTACTCCTAAAGGTTTGATCCCAGTCCAGAAATTGTCAGTGTCTCTGTTCCTTGTAGACAAGACACTGACTCCCAGTGACTCTGCTATATTTATTTTTATTTATTCAGACTTTCCGCTTGTCATCCCTCAGAAACAGGACACTCACCTGGTGCCAGGCACTGTGGGGACCATCTTCCTTCCTCATCACTGTCAATTCTTAAGGAGCCACATGGAGTTAGGACTTTCTTTCACTGTTACTTTTTTTTTTTCTTGGTTTCCAAACAAGGTGAGTCTTAGAGAGATCCAGCACCAAAGCTACCAGGCTTAGCATGCTTTCTGATAAAAGGAGGAGAGGGGACAGATAAGCAACAGGGGAGATTGGGGCTGGTAGAGGGAGGAGTCAGGGCCAGGAGTCCAGATTTCTTCCTCCTTGGATACCCACAGTGACGTGTAGAAAGCTGAGGTTGTGGCTCAGTGACAGAACAGTTGCCCAGCATGTGCAAGATGTGGGACAGATCCCAGCACAGCCAGAAAAAGTAATGTAATAAAATAAAAAGCAAAATAATAAATAATAAGGGCTGAGGATGTGTCTCTGTAGGTAGAGAGCTTGCCTGGTGCACACAAGGACTAGAATTCAATGTCCAGAACTCCATAATCCAGGCTTGGTATGGTGGCTCATGCCTGTAGTCCCCACAACTTGGGATGCTGAGTCCCCACAACTCTGTAGACAGCCTGGGAGACATAGTGGGGCTACATCTCAATAAAACAAATAACAAGATAAAAGCAAAGTGGCACATGGACAATGTGTGGAACTTCGTATTGCGGTGTGGGCTCCCCAGTCAGACTCTGAGCAGTTGGAGGTACAGGACACAGTGGTCATTTACAGCAACATCCGCAGCCTCTGGAATAGTCCCTTGCACACAGTAGGTGCTGGCGCCTCACATACATCTCATTGGCCTACATAAGTCATGCCCCCTCATGGCTGAAGCCCTGCGTTACCATGGATTGTTCTGGACTAATAAACAACAAGGGATGGAGACATATCCTTGCAGAACATTTTTATTATGTTATAAGCAGGGGCCCATGTAGAGCGACAGAGGCCACAGTGAGCCAGAGGAAACCCCCGGGCAGCACCTCTGTTATCTCAGCTCCAGCTATGGGTCCAAACAAGCTTTAATGGTACTATGCACATAGCTCATGAGGAATGTTCTTCATGAGAGCCTTTCTTCTCTTTCGTCTCTTCCAGACCCCACAGAGTGAATTCATCTGCTCCTGATCTACTTCTCTTTCTGAAGAAAGACAGTTTCTGAACAGACCCAGAAACTCCAAGAGTCGGGGGGGGGGGGGAGAGGGCTCAGTTAGGAATGTGCTTGATGTATGAGCATGAGGATCTGAGTTGTAGTCCCAACATTCCTGCATAGGTAGGTAGATAGATAGATAGATAGATAGATAGATAGATAGATAGATAGATAGATAGTTCGAGGCAGCAGTGAATGACCCGGCAGATGCTCGGTGGTTGCCGGCCAGCCAGTCTAATGCAATCAGTGAGCTCCAGCTTCCGTGGGAGACCCTGGCTCAAAAAAAAAAAAAAAAAGTGGAATGTGACTGAGGAAGACACCCAACAGTGACACTTGACCCCCACATGCATGCACATACACTCGCATGCACAGGCACACTCGTGCACACAGACACAGAACACACAAAGAAATCCATCTGGCACGCATCGTGCTTTCCAGTTTTCCCACAGTATCTTCCCGAGGCTTCCACAACCCTGCGAGGCATTTACAATTTCCATCCCACTGCATAGATGAGGGGGAAGATTCGTTCCCACAGCCGCCGCTGAGCTGCTCCAGAGCCCCCACCTCACCCTCCACAAATAAAGGACGTGGAGGAGCTGAGGAGGCTTATTAAACCTGAACCTCCTTCTCACCTCCCTCTGGCCTGGTGCTCTGCCTCCCTTCTCCAGTCCTTTCCAAGGCACTGTTGAATCGTACCAGAGTGCCTAGTGGCCACTCCGCAAGGCAGATATGCTCCATCCCACAGATGCAGAACCTGGTATACACAAAGGCGACGTGACGTGCCTGTGTCACAGGGCTGGTAGGAAAGTGCCAGGGTCCATGGGCAGGGCATGGAATCCATGTCTAAATTGCTACGTTATCCTGTATCTGGCTAATAAAAACTGGATAAGGGAAGCATGCCTCTGGAGCAGTGATTCTCAATGTTCATTACACTGGGACCCTTTAATACAGTTCTTCGTGTTGTGGTGGCCCCCAACCATAAAATTATTTCATTGCTACCTCATGAATACGATTTTGCCACTGTTATGAATCTTAATGTAAATATCTGATATGCAGCCCCAAGGGAGTCGTGACCCACAGGTTGAGAACTACTGCCCTAAAGTGGCTGATGTCAATGTTTTCCTGATGGCAGTGTTTCTAATTATCACCCTCTTACCTAGAAGCAAGGTAAGGCTTGAGATCCCAACCATAACAAATAAAAAAATCCCGAGGCACAGATGCATGACTCTCCTCTGGTTTGACCCCCTATCTGACGAGTATCCTCTCGAGTCCCCAAGGAAACTATTCTGTCATCTTTTTCCCAAACTGGTATCCCACCCAGCCAGCAGCTGCTTCACCACAGACCCAAGAAAATGTATGCCTCAGTCCCTTCTCAGATCCTCTCATTCATATCCACTCATTTTCTAAGGTTCTCACCCTATCTGCACATTTGTTCATTATCCAGCCGGTCAACAAATACGTATTGAACAGCTGTGTTCCAGGTACTGAGTCAAGCACGGGGAATTCAATAGCGAACAAGACAAACACACTCTCCCTAGCCTCATGGAACTGGTATTATAAGGAAGATAGACAATATGCAGCTAAATATAACAGGAAGATAATTACACATATTGATAAAGGCAACAAAGAGAATAGGTAAGGAAGAGAGTGGCTGGGGGGGCGGATCAGTTCTAATAAACTGATCAGGGAAGACTGGCTGGAAGAATTGACAGCTGAGCTGAATGACAAAGGCAGGGCCAACCCTGCCAGGATTTGAGGGCAGAAGAGTCAGCCAAGTGCGAAGGTCCTGAGGTGAGAAAACCAGTCTGTGTGAGACACAGCAGGGGAGCCGACAGGGCTGGGGCTGAGACAGGAAGGGGGGCATGTTAGGACTGAGAGCCAGGAACCCTCACAAAAGGCCCTGCACAGCAGGGTGAGGAGTGTGGATTTTATTCTCCATGCAGTGAGGAGTTGTTGGCGGGTCAGAGGCAGAATGACAAGTCTTAATGTATGGTTCTAAAATACGACCTCAGTCGTCATATAGAGGCTAGAGGGCAGGGGAAGGGGGCTGGGAGGATCTGAGTCCGCTTAGAAGGCTACTACCATCAAAGCAGTTTAGGCTGTGGTGGCCAGAACCAGGATGACAACAGAGAGGGAAGGAGATGATTGGGAGAGGAGTCCAAGTTTCTGATGCACGGGGGTCCAGGCAGGAAAGAAAGAAGGATTCAAGATGACTCCAAGCTGGACGTCCAAGAGACTCTTCATACTAACCTGCTTCCCAGCCTGTGAATCACCCACCCAAGCCCCACAGAGGGACGTGGCTTGCTTCTCACCGTGCTTGCATCTTGTTTTCAAAGTTAGTACTCAGTCACACCAACTTCAGAAGTCCAGAACACAGGCCACAGTGGTCCAGGAAGCCTAAGACCATACTAATGAAGAAATAGCATCGTGATGGGCTCCATGAGGTCCCCAGGAAAACGCAGGTCCCCAGAGCACTTCATGGCCAAGGTTACAACCACAGAGGCTGTGTGCGCGCCACACACAGCAGCCTCTCTGAGACCGGGTTTCCTTGCATGTAACACGCAGACGTGATAAAGATCTAAAGATCTATTGCTCTTCGAGCTTCAGCAAAGACCAGGAAACCATAAACACACACACACACACACACACACACACACAAACTATGTCATTGTTGTTGTTTTTTTTTTATTCTTAGTTCTTGCCAGCCAAGGTCAAGGGCACCTGTCCTGCCACCACAAGGCTGTGTGTTCTGTGAGGTTGGAGGTTCATAATCCAAAAGCATGTCCACATTGGTCTTAATGAATAAAAAGCTTACCGGGCTTGGGGTAAGAAGATAACAGCCAGGGTCTAGAGGCATTGAAGCGCCATTTGTCCTCAGCCACAATGCAGTTTTTATTGCACACTGTTCTATCCTGAGAGCTCTGGTCCTTCTCAACCCCACTCCCTGTGAGTTGAACCTATGAACTTGATTGACACCCCACAATAGGGACCAGATGAAAAGGTGGCGCCAGGGCAGCCAGGAGGCAGTGTCTCTCTGAGACAACAGAGGGCACACATTCAGATCCCTGTGCAATGACAGACATGCTCAGTCCCCAGGATGGAATATGCTGGATCCGATTCCCCTCCACAAACTCAATCACACATGTTTCCACATATACAAGCCTAGTCGTGTGCCATGCCAGATTTCTAAGAGACACCTAGAGCATTCATAAAATGAAGCACTGGTTAACCCTTTTGTGCCCAAATTCCCCATAAGAACAGTTTCTTTGATAACTCTGAAGAGGGGGGCTGCAGAGAGGGCTCAGTGGGTAAGAGCACTGGCTGCTCTTCCAGAAGACCCTGACGTAATTCCCAGCACCCACATGGCAGCTCACACCTGTCTGTAACTCTAGCTCTAGAGCTTCTGATTACCTCACACAGACAGACATGCAGGCAAAACACCACTGAACATTTTTAAAATTTTTTTTTAAATAATAAATTTCTAAAACTCTGAAAAGCAAGGATTAAGTTGGATTACTGTCCCCTCCCTTTTGCCTTCACAGGCAGCAGGGACTCCTTCCCAGGGTAGGAGCCTGGGTCTGCTCGCCTTCACATGGAGTCTCCTTGACTCTTATATTCCTCTAGCCACAAAGATAAAGTGTTTCCCAAAATTAACATTTTAAAACTAAACCCTGTGCTTCTACCTCAGGATAAATGCAAATGAGGATTCCCGGTATTCGTTGGGTTTGGGTTTTATTGTTTAAATATACACTTCCACTTTGGGGGGGGGCGGGGGAAGGGGATAGAAACAGCTTCTTGGAACTATTGTGAGTGTACTTAAAGGAAACCTTTTTTGCGTCCTGCACTTGAGGTGGGAAGAGGAAATTGCTTTTAATCAGCCGTTTTGTTCTTCAAGATGGATAGATAGATGATTGATACCTAGGATGGATAGATAGATAGATAGATAGATAGATAGATAGATAGATGAACAGACAGACAGATAGGCAGACAGACCAACAGACTTTTGTTAAAGACATTGACTCCAAGAAGAAACCCGCC